CCGCTGGGACAGGGCGCCTCCGAAGCACACACCACGGGAAACGCGCGCGCACACCCTAGGACTCCGCTACTCACACGAGGGCGCTACCCCTGCGCGCACAGCCTGGGGAACTGTCCACAGGGCTCTTACTTTTATGACTTTGTTGAGGCATTCGTCAGCCACCATCCTGACATCCGACTCTGCGTCGTCACTGCACAGCAGAAAAAGCTCCATGGCAATGCCCAGAAGCTTCTGAAATTCTGGAGAATTTCTAAGTGAAAAAAGAAAGATTGTCACAGCCAAGAAGAGCCTAAGAAAACATGATGACAAAACGGGATGAGGTGTCTGGTATCCTAGATGGGATTCTGGAACAGAAAGGAGGATGTCACATAAAAATTAACGTTAACAGTGTATCAATAATGATTAATTGTGAAAAATGTTGCACTGTAACGTAAGATGCAAATAACTGGGGTACCTGGACGCGGGGTACATGAAAACTATGCTATCTTCATAAGTTTTTCTGTAAACTTATAACCATTCTAAAATTTCAAAATTTGTTTTTTTTAAAAAAGTTAGTACTTGTAAGACGAATCTCACTTTTTTTACATTTTAATTCAAACTTCTTAAAATCACTGCTTTTTGTATATTTTAACTCAATTAAAAAAAGACACTGATAGCCACCTGCTCTCTGCCAACGTGTGAACTGTACTCTTACAATGTTTTTGGAACCCTGAAAGTCAGTAAACCAGTATAACCTTCACTCCTTTTCGATTCCTGCTCTCAGTCTGTGCCCAAGCACAGCCGTTCTTACTGTAGACCGAGCATCACCGCCAGGCTGTGCTTCTGTAGCTCTGCCGCCGTCTCACCAAGGCTGGAGTCTCTGCGGGGTGCGTGAATGACTTTAAAGTGTTTCACAGAGGGAGCCCGTTCGGGATCCACCGGCTGATCACAGCCGGGACACAGATACTGAAACGCCCATGAAACGGACGCACATCCTTGGGAAGCACGGCAGAACTCAGTACAGCCCTGGACGACGCTGCGGTCCCTGAAACGGCAGAATCCAACTGCTGTTTCACGATCTCAGTCTACAGTACCCTGAGGTGGCGGCCCCCTCGCCCTCTCTCCACGTCATAATTCCTACCAACAGCCAGAAGGGCCACGAGCCTGAGAGAAAGCAAAGGACCACATTAGCAATGATCAACAGACAAATACAAGCAAGAAACCAAACGTGCCACCCAGCAGTATTTCAGACCCTGTCCAGGTGGAATACAGCTGTGACTAAAGGGCTGAGGAGGAATGTCCCTGACACACTAGTGTCGCGTTCAAAGCGGTTCTGTCTGCAGAAACATAACGCGAGCTACATGTGTGCTTTTATACTTCCTAAAAATCACATCAAAATAAAGACAGATAAAATTATTTTAATACATTTCACTTAACCGAATATTTCAAAAATATAATTTCAACAAGTCATCAATATTAGTGAGATATAATAAAATCTTTTTCATAGCATATCTCAATTCAGACACAAACTTTTTATCAGAAATACTTTATCTATATTTAGACTTCATAACATTCAACTGAAAAGTAGGTTCACTTGCAACCAGTAAATTCTGAAGCTCTAATGCACAACAGTGATTGTAGTCAATGCTGTATTGTAAACTTCAAAGTTGCTGAGACTAGATCTTAACTGTTCTCAACACAATAAGAAAATGATAATTATGTGACTTGATAAAGGCGTTAGCTAACACTACTGTAATAATCATACTGCAATAAATGAATGTATCAGACCAGCACACTGCACAACTCAAATATACACGTTGTCATTATGTTTTTCAAAAAGGAAAAAGGTTTCTACACCATTTGCAACCATGCTTAAAAGTTCTCCAATAACTAAATCAAATACCGATCTTTAAATTTTAATTTAATAAACCAGATATACGGACAGTCGGGGTATCTATTTCTTCTTGAGAGCTTTAGAAGCGCTTCCAAGAAACTCATCCATTTCTTCTAAGTTGCCGAATTTGCTGGCATAAAGCTGTTCAGAACGTCCCCTCCTAATTCTTTTAGTATCTACACAACTGATACTGACCTCATCGCCCTCACCGGTAATTTGTGACTTCACTTTGTTTGGTCTTATTAATTTTACTCTTTTCCAAGAACCCGCTTTGGGGTTTACTGACCTTCTATGTACCTTTGTTTTCTATTTTACTGACTTCCATCCTTATCTTTATGATGTCCATTCTTCTGCTAAATTTGGGTTTCATCTGCTCTTCTTTTTCAAGTTTCCTAAGGCGGAAGCTGAGGTCACTGACTTGAGACCCTTCTTTTTTCCTAAAATGGCATTTAATGCTATTAATTTCCCATGAATATACTAAAGTAGCATAGTAGTTTTGAAATCCTTTTTTTTTTATTTTCGACCAATTAAAAATACTTACGAATTTCCCTTTTTGACTTCTTTGACCCTTGGGTCACATGGCAATGTGCTGGTTTTCTACATATCTAAGGCTTTTCCAGACTATCTGTAACACAATCCCGCTTAATTCCCTTGAGGTCAGATAATGTGCTTGGTATGATTTGAGTCCTTTTACACTCAGAGACCTGTTTGACAGCCCAGCATATGGTTTATCTTGGCAAACATCCAAGAGAAGCACCTGAGAATGTCTTCTGCTGTTCTGCAGGGAGTGCCTAGAGATGTCGGTCACACACACACACACACACACAGTTTTTCAAGTCTTTTAGATGCAGATTTTATGTCTGTGTGTTCTGAGAATTTGAGAGAGAGGCTGCTGCAAACTCTGACTGGATTTGTCCGCTTCCCCTCGCAGTTCTATCGGTTTTGCTTCACGTACTTTTGAAGCTCCGCACACAGGCACTGAAACACTTAGGCCGGTGACGCCCACGGATGAATGGATGCCTTTACCATTATGAAACGACCATCCTATTCCTGGTAACAGCCTGATTACAAATCCACTGTGTATGAATATAACCAACCAATCTGGCTTTCATCTGATCAGCACTGTATGATAAACCTCTTTCCATTCTTTTATTTGTGCTTTTATACTTAAAATGGTTTTCTTATAGGCGGCCTATATTAGGTCTTGCTTTTTCAGCCAATCTGAAAAACCTTTTATAATTAATATCATTATTGATATAATTAGGTTTAAATCTACCATGGTACTATTTCTTTCCTACGTGTCCCATATGCTCTGTATTTGTCTTTATCCCTATTTCAGCCTTCCTTGGAGTTAAGTAGTTTTACGATTATATTTTTTTGGTTTATTAGCTATAAGTCTTTGCTGTGCTTTTAATTATTGTTTCATTGTATTAGCTTCCTGTGGCTGCTGTAACAAATTACTAAAAACTGGGTGGCTTAAAAACACCGACATTTATTCTCACAGTTCTGGAGGCCAGAAGTCCAAAATCAGCACCACTGAGCCAAATCGAGGTCCTGGCAATGCTGCGCTCCCTCCACAGGATGCAGGGAGAATGGGTCCTTGCCTCTCCCAGCGCTGGGGGCTGCTAGCATTCCTTGGCTTGTGGCCACATCGCTCCAAGCTTCGAAGCCAGCATCTTCACAGGTCCTTGATCTACCTTCACATTGCCTCTGTGCATGTGTGTGTAAACTGCCCCTCTGCCTCCTTTTATAAGGATACATGTGACTGCATCTAGGGTCCACTCAGATAACCCAGGATAATCGCTCCCTCTCAAGTTCCTTAGTCGCATCCGTAAAGACCCTTCCCCTTAGAAGGCCAGATCTATACCGAACCCCAGGAATCATGACCTGATATCCTTGGGGGCAGGAGACATCATCCTGCTTACCACGTTATATTTCCATTTCTGCTCTTCTTTACGCTACCAGTTATGTATTTTACTTCTACACGTTGTTAAACCCAAATTACATTATTTTGCTATAAACGATCAATTAAATTTTAAAAGATCACAAATAAAAGGCGGGGTCTCGAGCTTTCTATAGTCACCGCCCCCGTCCTCTTCAAGCCTCTGCGTGGATCCAGGTTTCTACCTAGTGTGTTTTCCTTTTGCCCGAAATAGTCATTCTTTCTTAGAGTGGCTGCCTGCTGGATGTACGTTATTTCAGCTTTTACATGCCTGAAGAAGTCTTTACTCCATTTCGAGTGAGATCTTTACTAGGTACAGAATTCCAGGGTCTTTTCCTTTCAGCGCCACTGAATTCTACACGCATCGTTCAATGAGCAACCCGCTCTCCCCTTTGTGCAATTTAGCTTACAACGCCTCTACTTTGCACGTTCAGTCTTTTCTTCCTGAATACATGAAACCGTTGCAGTTAACTGTTTTACCAATTTATGGGGCAGCTTCAATTCTTTTTTCTTACTATGAATCATATTTTCCTGCTTCTCTGCATTCCTGATCATTTTTGACTGGATGCCAGACCCTATAACTTCGAGCTTGGTGGCTGCCATGTACTTTTGAACTCCTACAAATATTTTTGAACTTTGCTCTGGGATGCAGTTCTGATACTTTAAAAGCATATGTTCATCTTGGTGTTTGCTTTTAAACTTTATTAGGCAGGATCAGAATAACATCTCAGTCGAGGGTAAGTCGGCTCTAAGGCGAACCCCTTAGAGTACCCCCCCAAAGCCCATGAATGATAAGGGTCTCCACTCCGGGGGGTATGCCTAGAGTGAAACTGCTAATGCAAACTGATAGTGTAAAGCTTTATATTTAGCCAAATTGCCTTTTAAGAAGGTTGTATCACTGCTGACAGAATCCTAAGGAGTTTTTGTTTTCTGCCAACCTGACAGGTAAAAAATGTTCTTACGGCAACATGCTGCGCACAAGGATGATGCGGTCGACAGCGGACTGCTTACGACGGCGGCCCCTTACGGTTATCACGGAGCTGAAACATCTTTTCACCCAGTGCACAACGGCGCAAGGGCTGCGAAAATCCACAGGGCTGAGGCTGAGACGGCAAACGGTACCCTGGGTGTGGGTGAGGAGGACGCGGGAAGCTCGGGGGGAAAGAGGGTCTCATGAGGAGCTGACCAATGAAGTGTTGGAACTGGAGCAGGAGCATGCAGCTGAAGAGGTGAGGGAGGAGAGAAGGGTGCTGCAGGAAAGGAAAAGAATCCCCAAGAAAATTTAGTGAAGGGCTCAGCAGAAGCATCTGGACTGAGCTGCAACAAGCTCCTTAAAAAGCATGAAAACGCGAACCCAACACTGACAGGTTTTCCTCATGGAGAGAACATCCATGGTGCATTATCTCTACAAGCAAATCTATGATGAAAGGAGGAACAAACGGAGCAAACCACCATGGGCCTATTTCTGAAGAGAGGGACACCTTCTCAAGAAGGGCCCCAGGCAGGTCCTCTGGTCCAGAAGGCACTGTTGTCGTAGGAGGTGACAGCTCCATGCGTGTCACTGCCCGAGACCTTCCAGGGGGACAGGATGTGGAGGCGGGAGACAGTCACAGTGATGACCCTGACCCTATGCAGGCCTCAGTTCATGTGTGTGTTTGTGTCTAAGCTTTTAAAAATAAGTTTAAAAAGTTAAAAAAAATTTTTTTATAGAAAAAAAGCCTATAGAAAACATTAAGAAAATGTTTTTGTACAGCTATATAATGTTTGTGTTTTAAGCTAAGGATTATTACAAAAAGTCAAAAAATTAGAAAAATTGAAGTTTATAAAGTAAAAAGCGGCAGTAAGCTAAAGTCAATTTATTATTACAGAAAGAAAAACCATTTTTTATAAGTCTAGTGCAGCCTACACGGACAGTGTGTATGAAGTCTGCAGTGGTGCCAGTCCTGTCCCTGGCCTTCACGTCCCCTCACTGCCCGCTCGCTGACGCACCCAGAGCAGCTCCCAGTCCCCCAGGCTCCGCCCTGGCAGGTGGCCTCTGCAGGCGGGCCATTGTTACCTTTTATACTGTATTTTTACTGTAGCTTTTCTATGTTTAGATACACAAATACTTACCATTGTGTTACAACTGTCTACAGTGTTCAGGACAGTGACAGCCGTGTAGGCTTGTAGCCCAGGAGCAACAGGCTAGACCACATGGCCCAGATGTGCAGTAGGCTAGACCACAGGGCCTAGGTGTGCAGTAGGCTAGACCACCTAGGTGTGTGCAAGTCATTCCATGATGTTCGCAGGACAAAATCAACTAATACTGTGTTTTCTTAGAACATATCCCTGTTGTTAAGCGGTAAGTGTCTATATTTTAGTCTTGTTCCATTGATTACTAGTAAAGTTGAACATTTTTCTGTAGGAAGCACAAAATAAGTGTTAGCTATTATGTTTATTGGCCGGGTCATATTTCTTCTTTTCTGAACTACCTATTCATGGTCTTTGTCTACTTCCCTATTAGGATGACAGACTTTTTCTTAATGATTTATAACTGTTCTTTATAGAGATTATTAAGCCTTTGATATATAATATGCTGTCAATACTTTCCTCAAGTTGAGTTTACTTTTGAGTTTAAGGTGGACTTTGATATACTGAGTTATATTCCAGTCAAAACAATTTTTCTTTTATCAGCTAACCTTTCTCAGCCTTAAGATTACGGGTTCTTTTAGTAGTGACTTTTCATTTTTCTACATTTAGGTAACTAATCTGACATTTATTTTTTTTGCAATATGAAGTAGAGACATAACCCTAACTAGTCCATTGGTTCAACAATCCATCAGTTCCCTAATAATACAAAATGTTATCTTCATCATAAATTCTGAATTCACACACACAGATACACACATACACTTTCCGAACTTTCTATTCTGTACTTTCAGTAATGTCTAACAGGTATTTTAATGTCACATACAGATCTCACCATACTACTGATGGTTTCAGAGTTTCTTTGCAACATTTATATATTCTTGCAGATGAACAAGTTCAAAAATATCCCTACTAGAATTCTGATCGAGATCATTTTAAATTTATAAAACATTTAGAAAATTTAACTTTTGATAAAAATAAAAATCTGCCCACCTAGGAAGGAAGTAGTCATCTCCACCTTTCAAAAAAGTCAACAATAGTCTTTACTTTATGTCATTTCTGCATGTTTCTTGTCAATTCCCTGAAATTTTATACGGTGGTGCTACTATGATCAGGATGTTGATCCATTAGAATTTTGAACAGACTTATCCTAATATATGGGAAATCTACGGATTTCTGTGTATTTATTTTTACTCAAACACTTTATCAAGGTACACTTGCTTAGAGGAGGGTTTCTAGGTACCTCATCAGTTCTATCGAGAATTCTCAAAAAAACAAAATAAGTATGAAGCACGAAGCACTCGGATTGAAAGAGATCTTATTTTCTGGGTCCATAAGCTTTCAAAATAAAACAGTATCTCTTGAGACCTGGGTAGTGGGTATCAGATGGCCCGAGCTGTGCCACTGCAGTAGGGCACCAGATGTGGTCAGGCATTTGTTTAACTGCTCCACACAAAAGTGATAAGTTACAGGGCGACCGAGCTGTACCACTATAGTAGGGCACCAGATGTGGTCAGGCGTTTACCTGCTCCACACAAAAGTGATAAGTTACAGGGCGACGTACATCACGACAGGAAGCAATGAATCTATCTCTGCAGTTCTGCACGGTGTCTCACTATCACCTGATCCCACGAGAAGCCTACCAACGGGGTTTACATTTCATAAATGAGGCAACAGAGGCGCCAAGAAGTTGAACTTATCTAAAACCGCTTGGCTTCCAAGGAGTAGAGGTGAAATTCAATTTTTTTCCTGGTATTGTTTTCTACAATAGTATGCTAAACTAAGAACTTTCACATTTTTATTTTCAGCATATATTCTCATTTCTTATTATATTTTCTTTCTATAAGATTTCTATAAATTAAATAGGAACAGAAACATCCACCATATTTCACAAATGATGCAATGAATTCAACTAAAATGAAATATTAAGTGTGAAATCACTTTGAAAGTATAAAATACAAATGCAAAGTACATTAAAAATAAGTGAATCATCAAGTTTGTTAGTACTAAAATCAAGATCATTATTCTCAGAGCTTTTCCTAACAGATTATAAAGAGCTCTTTCCAGCTTCCAGCGGGAGAATAACTAAAATTATTGATTCCAAAGGAAAAAAAGCAAGGGGATAAGAACTTCACACACGCCCATCTGAGTAACAAAGTTCAGAAATCACAGGTACATCTGTCTCCTACACGGCCATTAGAAACAGGCTTAAAATCTCTCTCTCCAATCCATGACTACCAAGGACAGTGATCAGAAGGACAGACAGTCAAAAGCAAAGAGAAGAGAATTAGCAAAGAAGCTACAAAAGGTGCCACTTCACCCCAAGGAAAGACCGAGCAGGGGAAGCAGACACACAGTCAGCTGCCCATGGCCCCCCGAAGCACGGACCTGCAGGCAGCAGCCCTGCCGGAAGTCAGGCCCCCATACGCAGCGAACGAACAGCGGCAGAGTGCCAAAGAAAGATGGATAAAGATACGACAATTGAACAGGCTCGTGTTGTTCCCATTACTAAATGAATGTAAAAATAGCAAACAAATGATGATTTCTGAATGATTACAGTTACCAAGAGTGCTAATTAAATATAAACATGCTGTTCAAATATCATCATGGTTACAACTGTAAGATTACAAAAAGAAAACATTGCTCATTCTTCTGTCTGGATAGCCGGAAGTATGGGAAAAGGGTCTTCTAAAGGTTTTAAGACAACGGGGGACACGAACAATAGTCCAGCTCATTCAGAATGAAAATATAAACTTTATATTTTCATTAGCAAGTTCAAAGTGTAATTACCTGAGAGACTGAGCCACTATGTTTTCACATATGGTCAGACAATGATTCACACGGTCTTTCTTGGTGGCTGAGAGTTCTTTCTTTCTAAACGGAAAAAAAAAGAAGGAAAGGAGGTGAACACATGTTGACTGACCCACTCCGTTTACTTCCGCACGCCCTCGGTGCGTGCCATAAGCACCTGAGGACCAGCAGGAGTACAGCATACACTCTGAGCCGGGGGCAGAGTCGAGTCAGGCCAGGGCGGGTGGCCGAGCGCAAGCCGGGGCTTCCTCAGCAACGCAGCTCCCAGCCAACAGGTGATGCTACCAATGCGCCTTATTTTTCCCATTTTTAGAGAGATTGCAGTGCCAACAGTGACTGGCCCAAGATCATGCTGACAGAGGGCTGTGCGATTCCAGGGAACACGATATGACACGGAGTCTGCATGCCTAGATACCGCCACCCGCCACTTCTCCGCGCCACGCTGCTCACTGACTGCAGTCGGCACGCCACACAGACCTCACGCTCCTCATTAGGTGTAACGTGCACGATGGCTAATCGCGCCTGTGTCCCCAAACAGCTAGAAATAGGCCTCCCGCTCAGAGCTTTCGACTCAGACTTCTCGGCCCAACAGGAGATAAACAGCCAGGTCAAAATCAGATTAAAGGTGCCTGCTCGCCACCCAAACCTACGGCTTTGGCTGTCTTCTGTCTTCAAGGCAGAGGGATACCCTGAAGCGGAGCCGAACGTGAAGCAGGCTTAAGAAGTTCATCCGAAAGAGAACCAGACCACTAGGTTTCTGAGAGAATTCTATTACCAAGGGGGGCGTCTAACCTACGAACTGCTGTGACTGTTTAATCCCTAACGCAGCCCCCTGTTTAATCCCAAGTGCAGCCGAAGGAACAGGCTCCCACACCGCAAAGCCAACGAAGCACGCCCTCCGAAAGGCATGGCGGAGGCGGCCGGGAAGAGCACAGGTGTGGCAGCACCTCCCAAGGGAGAAGTCAGGGGCCAAAAAGAAGGGATGGGGTCAAAGGCACAGAAAAGGACCAGGGCCTGAGGGAGAAGCCCAGCCCACGGCACGAGGCGGGGGCGGCCCCGTGGCCGATCGCCCAGTCGGAGCTGGTCATGACAGGGACTCCCCCCGAGGAGGCACACGGCACAGGGCTGCGCGGCCACCACGCCGCCATTCTCCCCTCCCTGGACACGGGCCTCCCGCTCAGACGTTCCTGCCCGGCTTCCCTGCGGCCACGACAAACACGCTGCAGACCAAACAGCAATGGGAGTGGAAGACGGAGCGTCCACGTCGCCGGCGTGCAAGGGCACCCCCTTAGTTCCCTCCACCTGGAACGACGTGCCTAACGCCCAGCTGCCGCTCACACGGATGAGACATCGAGAAGACTGTGGAGCAGCAGGACGGAAGGAGCCTGGGTCCCTGAGAGACCACAAGAAGCAGAGAGCCCCCCACCCTCACAAGCCACCCCCCTCAAAGCACTCTGATGGAAAGAACCCAACATCCTCCTGGAGGACGGACGAGCAAACAGCCACCCTGCCGACAGATGCCGGCGGGCAGCCAGCACAAACGAGGCCGCGTCTCAGCGTACCAGGTTCGACTACGCACAGGATGAGTCCACTCGTGAGACATTCTGGAAGAGACAAAACTACAGGAACAAAAAGCGATCACTAATTTCCAGGGGCCGGGGAGGGGCTGACAGCAAAAAGGCATGAGGAACTTTTGGGGGTGACAGATTATTCTGAATCTGGATTGTGGTAGTAGTTACATGGCTTGACGCATTTGGCAAAATTCATAGAACTCTGCACTACACAGGGTACATTTTACTATATGCAAGTCATACCTCGGTTCTAAAAAGAAAGTACTTTGAGAACGAAAGTGCTCTCCCCTTTATTTATTTATTTGTTTTTAAGCGAGGCAACCGAACCTTGGTTGACCTCACAGATTACAAGGACTTTGTCAGCTTACAGTCCCTTATTTTTTTTTTTTTAATTTTTTACACCTACAGCACCTGGTCTTCCTAGGTGGTCTCCCATCCAAGTACTAACCAGGCTCGACCCTGCTTAGCTTCTGAGATCAGCCGGGTTCAGGCATGTTCAGGGCTGCGTGGCCGCAGACAGTACTCTCCCCTTTAAACCACCATACGAAGTCTGTGACAGCAGCTTAGTTTACCTAGTGTAGCACAGCCACCAAGGATACTAAAGAACATGATGAATGTATATATTTTAGGAAGCAAACTAACTCACCTGTCCGTTACTATTGGCTCTCCACAGTGAAAACCTGCCCGAGGCTTTGAATGAACTGAATTTGCCCACTCAGTCTCCTAGAGGCAGCAATGGTGGCCCTCAGTGTGGCAGTCCCTTACACTAGATCTAAAACAATTCCTTGTGGGGTGCTAATGAGAAAGGGCTGGAAAACACTAAACTAACTGGACCCCACAACTTAACGAAAGTCAGAATAGAAATATTCAGGACTTATGTTTTCCACAAAGTCAGAATCCAAGCAGAACCTTCATCCTGTGGTGTCACCGCCTCCGAGCCCGAAAGATGGGTAGCCTGTGACTCGTGGCAATTCCCTTCACTGTCTGAGCCCAACTTTTCCCATCTGGAACTGAAGCAGCTCACCTAAAGCAGGGGTGGCGGCCAGGTGTCTTGGATGGCCCACCCTGATCAGAAGGCCGAGGCTCCCAGAGTCATCCTAGACAATACTTGAAGCCTCGTCTGTTTCAGTAAGAAAGACTGCCATGCCGAATGACTGGGTGTGTCACAGGCTGGGGAGGAGGAGGTGTCCCAAACGAGATGATTCCCAACGTTTCCTCAGGCTGCAACACTATAAGCCTCCTGGACTTCACGAGACAGCACTGCATGTCAATGCCCCAACTACCTGTGTGGTTAAAACCACAGTGTAGGGTTTCAACGTGCACATCTCAGTAGAGCCACACGGGTACCAAAAGCAATGAAAGCCAACGGTGTCACACTAACCACCTGCAGGCCTGATGGAGAACTGGTGGGGCCCGTGGAACACCTCTCTGTCTTCTTAGAAGTGAGAGATACAACTATGAGTTGTAAAAAGTACTTTGCTCCTCATATATGTGAACTAAAAGAATACAGTTAGCAACAAACAACACCGCGCCCGCTCTCAAGGCCCAGCTCTCAAGGCCCGCCGCCTGAGTTCAGGGAGGCCGGCTTGGGCTGCTCCCACGTGCTGGACCTTGGGCAAGTTCATCAAACTACGAGGTCAAAGACAGAACATGATGCGAACTTCAAAAGCCCGGTTAACAAGGCCCATTATTATTAGGCCTCAGGCTACTTTCCAACTTCCACCGCTGGTCACTATTCTTGAACCTTCGGAGAAGGCTGGCTGCTCCAACCAACTTACTTGTTTGGGCCCTGCTTCTTGAAACTCAGTTCCCGTACATTCCGTGGTCCCTGCTTGAAATACTTCCTATCTTATTTTGTCCAATTAGCAAACTTAGAAGTTGAAGAAAAGTACTATCTCGTGTCCACCCCCACCCCAACCGAACTAGATTAATGAACTGATAAGCCAAAATGACTTGTCCTACCTGAAAAGTGAGTATGGAAATTAAAGTGAAAAAACAGAACCACCTTGCTCTGGGCAGGAACTGGATAAACAGGGTCGGATCAGTCTGACTCCTCAACCATGCTTGGTAGAGCAGTCATTTTAACTTCACCTTCAAAATAAAAACACACCTCGGTCAGCCCTCTCTCGGGGCGCCGCGGAGTGATGTGCAGACACGTTTGCCACGGCGGCACAGAAAAATCAAGGACTCTGCGGCATACTTCAGTCACGTTAAAACGACTATCACAGAACCAATTCTAAAACTGGGAATTCACGTCCTCTCATCTAAATTCTCATTTTTAGAATTATGTTGAGACTACGTATGAGAAATGTGAGTCCGGGCTGAGAGTGCGCAGGGGAGGGCCTGGCTCACCCGGGAATTGGAATCGTCACTCAGGGGGCACTGGGCTGGGCTGGCTCTTTGTCCTGACACAGCTCACACAGCAGAACCGGGGTGCAGAGGCTGCAGCACCCACAGGCAGAGACCAGGTCCTCTGACCCCTGCCAGCTGCTCTCTGCCTCTCACCAGTGCCGTAACAGTGGCAGAATGTTCCTGGAAAATCAGGACTCAGCAGAAAGGCTTTTTAAGAAGGAACAGGACATCAAAAGTCTCTTTGGAATTATGGTTCAAATATAATTTAAAAATAAAAGTGCCGTTTGATTAGGGGAACCAGGGCCTAAATCGTAAAGCCTAAGAGTTCCCCACTCTCCAGTCGGCAGGGCAGAAATGGGGCGTCAAAATGAAGCCTCTCCTCCTAGTGGTCTAACGGAGCATGGTAATGTTACCAGCAGAGGCGCAGCTCAGACACCAACCTGGGATGCTAAGTGACACAATGGCCCCATGCTGTATGATTCCATTCAGAAGCAATGTCCAGAACAGGCAAACCCAGAGAGACAGAAACAGATGAGTGGTTGTCAGGGGTTGGGGGAGGGAAAATGGGGAGGGGCTGCTTTTGGGGAGGGGCTTTCTTTTTGGGGTGATGAAATGTTCTGGAAATCAGATAGTGCAAAACCCTGTGAATATACCAAAAACCACTAAATCGTACACTTTGAAATGGTAAATGTTATAACATGTTGATCGTAATCTCAATTTAAAAAAAAAATCTGTCTACAAATCCTGTCGGGCAGCAGTTTCACCAAAGGGATCCAGAGTCTGAGTGGTAGCTTGCCTTCATGCTCCCTGCCTGTCATAGTGGCTTTTTTTTTTTTTTTTAATTAGAGCTTTTATTGAAGCAACTGTAGATTCATCTGAGACTGTACCGTGTAACAGAGCCCCAGCACACACTCTACCCCGTTTCCCACAATGTCACCATTTCACAAAGCTATAGTACTGACATTGCTACAATGGCGGTCTCAGATTTCCAGTTGTGTGTTTCCTCATCTGTGTGTATTTATTCTACACAATTTCAGTGGATGTGCCAGTTGTGCATCCACCACCACAGCCAGGACGCTGAACACCTCATCGGAGCAAGGAGCCCTGGAGGAGCCCTTTCAGAAGCACGCCCAC